CTCCGGTGAATTGCTGCTGTGTGTCGCTCCTTTCCTTTCATTTTCTATCCCAGGAAGAAAGACCAGCCACTTTATATCTAATTCATATTAAATTAGAATTATATAAACTAAGATTTTTAGCAAGTTACAATAAAGATTAAAAGGACATAGCAAAACAAACTGTCCCAGGTCATTTTCTTAAGTCTTTGGGAAGTCCAGACTTTGTTGAAAAGTCTCTTCAAAGGATGTTAAATTCTAGAAGGATGGTAGGAATTTCTTGGCTTACACATAGGAAGTTGTGATCCTAATTCATGGTGACTAGAATACAACATAAAAGAAGGTTCACTGAACTGTCTCTCCATCCTTTCGAAACCCTTTAGCACTTTGCTTGTTTCTTACATTAGTAATTAACTACATAGATATGTATAAATATTTGTGGATTTGTCTTAATTCTTCTTCCTGAGTTTGACCTGTGCTATTTTAATTTTTTATTTCTAGAGGGCAAACAGATTGCTTTGAAAAGAGTAAGCATTTAACTTGCTTGCCAATTGAATGGCATACAATAGTTATCTCTCATGATGTACTAACTAAAAATGGCATATGTGTTTATTGGTAGAATGGATGAACGTCAGGCCTTTGGTCAAAATATTTCTTATTTCCAAAATTATTTTACTATGGAAAAACTGAACTGTACTTAACACAATGCCTAATGCTTAGAGATACTCATTTTAAAGATTAAATTAAAACTTGAATGAATCCATATATGGAATCTTTAAAAGGAATATAATTTAATTTTTGAGTAAGGAGAAGTCACATGAAGAATTGAAACAATACCTTTCAATATCCCTTTTATAGGCATCTTCTGCAGGTTTGAAGACACTAGAACCATTGGTTTACTGACTTTGAAATGTTGATAGCTAATAAGGAAAGCAATTACTCCTTTGGGAAGAAAATATGCACAGGATACTATCCCTAATTCTTGTCAATGGTAAGTGGAATCTAATCTATCAGAATCGATGTAGATTTTAAAGGAAAAATAATTCTAAGTTGAATCTAAGGGAGAAAATAAAATTATGCAGATCCTTCAAAGATTTCAGAGGAAACCTTTTCAAAAACCTCAGTCAGTAGGATGACAAACAGATCTGAACAATGATTGAAAAGTATTCATTTCTACATAAATTGTGCAATAAGTATCCTTGATAGGTGTATTCTTCTCTAATTTATATGATTTTCAAAATGTACTAATAAGAATTTCCTTTTGAGGGGTCATTAAGTCAGTCAGATTGAATTATAGTTGTGTAGTTTAAGCAGATGAAAGGTAAATTATTTGGGACTTTCACTTTCCTGGGGCAGGATACCAATAGAAAATTGTTAACCAATATTCCCAGTAGAGAAGCCAAGAAATAAAATGATGGAAAAATAGAATTCAAAATAATAAAGTGCTCTGTATCTCCATTTTAGAATTTCTTCCTCTAAAGCTATTTTATTTATAGCCAGACAAAGGTATGATTTTAGCTGTCTGTTAGTACAGAATGCCCAGCTAGCTTAATTTCAACTGATGGATGTGCCTCATGGAAATCTAAAAGAATCATCATCACATTCTTCTCATTTTCTCCCCTTGAAGGAGGCTTTTATGATTTATTCACATATTTTGCCCTATTCAAGTCATTAGACCTGAGCAGCTGCTAAGGAAGAGGTGGGGTTTTGAAACACCAGTGCATATAAAGCTTAAACAGTGATGGAAAATAATGAAGAGCAGAGTGAATTTATGATTCATAAATGATATATTATACTTTTGTATTTTCTAGTAAGATAAAAGCTTCTAAACTTTTGCCTCAGATTTTTCCTTTACTGTAATTCATATTGGGTTATGCAAAGTTACCAACATTTCCAGAATCAAGATATTTAGAAAATGGATGTAATGGGTTATCAGACAAGGTTCACAACTAATTGCTTCTAAAACTTTATAAACAAAATTCAAGTCCTTGAGGAAGTGCTTGCTGATCAATAAACAAATTGTCTGCACTTACATCTAACTAATTCAGTTCAACTGATGAAGAGATCTTGTTGAATTGTGGGACATTTAAAAATGAGAACATTTTATTCATTTCAGTACTAGTATATAAGCAAATATCCAGGGGGATCTGCAGGAAGGAATACAGACAATTATGTGTAAAATAACATTTCATATTCATAATAGGAACTTCATGAAAATTGCTTGATGAACGAAATAGGATATGGAGAATCCTACCTTTAGGGGTGAGGATAGGGGATATTCATATTGAAAGAGTCAAAAGGGTAAGTGATGAGATGTAGTCAAAAGAGGTCACAGTTCAGGCAACCACGCAACCATGAGGGGTCCAAACTTACATGTTTCCCCCTCCCATGAAATAACACGTGATGTATTTTCAATGCCAATGTGTTTCTAGACAATGAATGCTATAACAGACTCTGGAGTTTTTAACTTTTTTCTTTGAAGTGGTTCTTTGAGTAGTAAAGGAGTTTTAAAGACACCTTTTCTGCTATGATTGAGGAAGAAAACTTGTTCCCAATTGCAGTGTTCCTGCACTTGATATGACAGAAAGAGAACTGGATACGAAGAATGAAGCGTCACTGGATTTGGCTCTAATAATATTTTGACTCTTTGGGTCTCAGGTTCCCCGTCTTGCCATTTAGAATGGTGAACAAAATTATATATCCACATCTAAGGTTCTTTCCAAATGCACCATTAACTCCCATTAACATGGTTAACTAATTCTATAATAGAAGATCCAGACATTGATAAAGTGAGCAAATGACCAAGTAAACATACAATCACATCAGTTATACTATATCCACAGCAGTTTTTCAAATGCAGGTGGACATCCATTAGTGAAAATTGAAATCAGCTTTATGTATTCCAACCATCATTTATCAGAAAGAGATAGAATTCAATAAAAAATACCAGTGTATACAACAAGAAATAAGGACAAATATTGTTTCTTGAAGCTTTTGTTGTGGTAGCTTATATACCACATATTTAAGTGTGTGTGTATGTACTGGGTCATAGTGTAAAATATATAGTTCTTATTCTCCATACACATCAACAATATTTGTAAGCCACTTATTTAGAGTGCTTTTAATTGGGTCAAAAGAGAAAACAGGCTTTTACTCACCAATAGTGGGGTCATGATAATCAGGGAACTGATGACTAATAAACTGCATTGTCATTGCTGAAAAAAAAATAAATTCAACTTAATATAAATTCACCAGTTCATCAATAAGTTATTCATCAATGTAGTCCATCAGTCTTTTAATAGATTTCTAGTGAGTTACTTATTTCTGTGAGTGACTAATTTAATTATGGACCATGAACCACAAAATGATAGCAGAAGAAGAAGTTCTAGAGGGGAAAAATCATGTATCTAGAAGGCAAATAATGCCAGATACCTCTTTGAAATAAACATATCCAAATTTTAAGTGTACTTTAATAACAACTGCATTAGAATGAAAATAAGGAGGCTCTTGACAAAATGAGAATGTGAACTACCTGTCAGATCCCTCTTGGCCTGCTGTAGTCAAACAGCTGGTACTGGGAAGATTTTTACACTAAAGGCCCTGTACATTCTCTTGCCTTTAACTTACTCATCTTAAAAGTCAGGAGATACTCTCTGAAGTCTCTATTAGTTATAAAGATATGTGATTATAATGAGGATTTTATCCTTAACTTTTCACAGTTAAAATTATTCATCACTTTTATTTTGCCTAATCCATGTTGCTTAGAAGCTTTTATTAATTTCCATTACTTTTTTCATATCTCCTCTAAATTCTTCACATTCTTTCCAAATCTGTAATTTTATGAAACAGTTATAATGCTTCCATTGCAGAGATCTCTCATGTAAATTTCCATTACTGGGAGACAAAGTGGTATGTTTAAGTAAAAGAAACTCAGAAAAAATATTAGTATAGTTCTCTTGTTCTGAGAGAGAAAGAGAGAGAGAGAGAGAGAGAGAGACAAAGACCTCCCCTTGACCAAACTTCAGTCAGGCTCCTTGAGTCTCCTTCTCATCTAGGTGTTGATCTAGGCCCCTGTCCTTGCTGGGCCTGCATAGCCCAGTGATAGACAGGATCCTGCTAAATCAGATTAGTGAGAGTCTCCCACTCTTGATTTCTGATCAGCCTCAAAATCAAATCAAATTCTTCAACCTCCACTCTTGATATCTGAACACACAGGCCTGTCTTCAGCAAGAATCCTTTTAAGTCTGTTTAGTAAGAATCCTCCAACATGGTGTCTCCTCTTAATAATTTTCCATCTACCAATGTCTGTCTGACCCCTTGCCTGTGATCCCCACTTTTCCTTGCATTTGGGATTAAGTCCAGGTCCCGTGTGAGTTCTCTTTTTCCTTATTGCAATGGTTTCTGAATAAATTTTGTTTTTACCCTTTAATAGTGTATACATGCTTCAGCAAATGTTCAGAGCAGGAAAGACAGTTAAATTCAACAAACCCATGCACAGCACTATTCTAACTCTGCTGAGAAATGTAAAGAAATGGAACCTGACCCAGTGAAAGACAATTTCTATTTACACTTTAACAGTGTTTACCTCCTGTCTTTGCATTGACAAAGGAGGTCTCCATATGAAAATATTACTCAGTTTGGCAATTTAGGGCAAATTTTTGAAATGCAAATCAACATTCCCTACAGATAGCCTTAGGATTTAGAATATTTCAGGTAAACAAACTGAAGGCAACATGTTTATTAAATATATATCATGGAGAATTTGAAAAGTATTTTCCATGAGTTTGCATATAGTAGCTTCCTCTATCTCATCCCTGGCTGATTTGCTCTCAAGTAGAGCAACTGAGTTCAGAGGCCTGGCCTCCTTATGAACAGTTGGCTTGTCTAATCAATCAATTAAACTTCAAAGATATCTCAGACTCAGTAAATTTACAACTAAAATGAGGACATTCTCATCCCATCCCACTCAAAGCAGAGATATGTACTTATTATGTGATTGAGAGCCTCACCATCCATTTATGACAGGCAATTATTTAGGCTAAACTCTTGAAGATGTCTTTGGACAGTTCCCCTTTCATATCCTCAATCTGGTCACCATGAAAATTTTCATTTTTACCTCCAAAATATCTTTTAAATATGTCTTGATTTTTGCTCATATTACTTTAGTTCAGAATCTTATATTTCTCTAGAAAATCTCTATTGCAATAGACCCAAAACTGACTTGTTCATAGCTCTTTTCTTTCCCTTCCATTAGAAATTGCATAATGATATCAGAATCATCATTTAAAAAAAATCATGGCATTCACATGTCAGCAACTATTAGGATAAAGACCACGGTTGTTAACATGACAGACTAGCATGCATACTTTTCCATATTCCCTTCACACCTTTCCAGTTCCAGCTTATACCACTGCCTTAACAGCTACTCTGTTCTCAGATTTACTGAAGTACCTTCCATCCATGAGCATGCCTTTATCATATAGTTTAAAATGGAATCCCCCTTTTCCTTCATTTTGTCATCATACTAACAAAGACTCACCTTGATCAAATATTATATTAGTCAGGCTCTTCTGAAACCTCCTCTAAACTAGGTCTCAACTTTCAGGTTTCCCTGTTCATCTCTGCTCTTCCCAGTTTTAGCAAAAATTCTGCTCAGTCATTTAAAGAGAGTTCCCCACACTTGGTATCTAATCACTGTTGATATTTGATCAAATTCTGCATTCTCCTTTCCTCCAGGTGATATCTGATTAGCCTGGCCTGCCTTCAGCAGGAATCCTATTAAGTCTATATAGCCAGAATCCTCTCTACTCTGTTTTTAATTTTCCATCCAGGGACCATTTTGCTCCTTGGTTAAAATTTCCCACTTGGCTTTGCTGTATTTGGAACTGAGCCCAGTTCTATACTGAGATCGCTTACCCCTACTGTAATAGCTCCTGAACAAAATCTATTTTTACTGCTTTCACTGCTATCCAGCTCTGCTTTTCTTTAACAGTGCTAATAATGACCCATATGTCCACTCAAAAGTCATACCATTCAATCAACACATTTAAACTCTTCATCTACCAGGTACCAGTATACGATAGTCATGGAAGATCCCCAAAAGAGGTATAAATATGGGCTAAGTTAATTACTATAAACTTAGGAATGAATTCTGAAAGCTGAAGAAGTTTGGAACAAATTAAAGGAAAAAGACATAAGCATTTTAAGAACTGATAGACATATTTGATATTAGACATAAAATTCACAGAACCAGTATCAGAAATAAATGAATCTAAGATTTACCTGTTACACTTATTTATAAGAAGATCTGGCATATATTAAAAGATGGAGTTTGCTTTAATGGAAACCTACTGTTTATTATATAACTGAAAAGCCCTTCTATTCTCAAATCCTCTGACCTACCACTGAGACAGAACCAAAGAACAGAGAGCCCGCTGAGCTTTGTTCCAGAACTTCAAAAGATAATTTTAGAAGATTGATTTGTGAAAGTTTCTTTTGTGTTTTACAAAATGGATGCCCAATGGGACATCTAAGAGCCACTTCCCTTTGCAGAGATAATGTGCAAAACAAACAATTTTTGAAAAATCTCTCCTAAATACCTGTCAAGTTCAATGTTGGAGATAAGCAATCTGCTAAATATCTATCAATCAGACTAAGGATTGAATTAATTTATGATCCTCAAAATTTTGGGATTCTATTTTCCTTTGCCAAAGAACCATTCTGTGAGAAACTAATAGCTCCTCCTGTTTTTCAATTTTATTGACTTTATATTATCCTAATACACTGGTATTTAAGAATCAAATGAAAATGAAAGTCTATGTCTTCTTCCCAAAATATACAGTCATACACACATGTACGCAATATTGGGAGATAAGTAGGGATCAATAGGTCCCAGGAAGAAGATTTGTCCTAGCAAATACCCACGTATGTCTGAAATCATCCTTTGGCTTAGAAACCCATGAACAATGTGATTTGAGAGCACTTGAGAACAACAAACTGACATCTGACTCTCAGCAATTTCTAACATTCAGCTCAGATATTAATTTTGTACTTGTACATGTTTTTAAAAATAATGTATTTCCTTGAAGAATGTGGTATACAAACTTCTTAACACTTTAGTGTGAACCAGTTCAGTGTAGCAAAGTTGACAAACCTACCTGACCAACCTGTATCCAGTACATTCATGAAAGATATACGAAAGCAAGGCAATATAGTGCTAGAAATAAATTTTACAAATATTATCATTGAATGTACCTGGCTTTGCTGTTCTGTAAAAAATAATAAGAATCAACATGGAAAATTCCAAGGAGCAATCTCACACTGAGGCCAGGATAACTTTCCAGACGCTTTAGAAAATCTGCTCAGGCAATAGATTCAGAACAATTTTCATGGTTTACCAGAAGTTGTAATCTTTCAATAATGGGAGAGTCTTTTTGTATGTATATATTTGAAATAGTTAAGAAATGTTGTACAAAGTGCTGCATGTCTGGATGATATATGGGTGAGTTTATTGTATTCAAAGATTCTCTCACAGTAAAAAAACATTGCCAATGTACATTTAGCAGTCCTTGTCTCAGAGACTGTATCACTGAACTCAGCAGGAGGCCATGTAGTTAGCCAGGAGTAAGAATGCTGAGGAAGGAATGGGATGATGGGAGGCAAGCACAAGAATTGGTTGGAACTTATGAATTATCTTATAGCCCTTGATCAAAAGAGAATTGGATGTATCATGGGCAAATAATGGTATTAGACCACTGAATCTCTGCATCAAAATGAAGCATTAGCATAGTTATCATTTGTTTTTATAAAGGCTAATGATTTTTATGTTATTTTAAACTCTTCTACCATACTAAAGCATTTTATGATTTGAGTTATTTTATTATGATATTTGAGGAGTTTCTATCATACCAGTATAAATATAAATCATTTCTGATTTTTATTTTCATAGTTAATTTATCTTGTGTATATTCATTGCTTAATTTGCTCAGGAAAATATTAAATAGTAGTGAAGATAGTGATGATCTTTGATTTTTTTCTTGACCTTCAATGGAAAGAACTTCTTGTTTTCATATAAGATGCTGGCATTATTATTGTGATATATATTTAAATACTTTATCATATTATGGAGGTAGTTATTCATTTATGCTTTACTGAAACCTTCATTAAGAACTAGGAGTTATACCTTCTTAGGATAATTGAGATAATCATGTGATTT